TCTAGACAGTTGATTACCACGAAAGAATAAAAGTGAAAAATAATATTCCTACATTGGTTATTCCAAACTCTCAGATCAAAGTTAATTATTGCAATCAATCTACAGTGTGAATGCAAGGTGTTATGTTTAGCTAGCGAAAACAGAACTTTTATAAAGAGGTGTGTGAGTGGAATATGTGTTTGTGTTTTGGAGCAAGTATTAAGGTAAATGTGTGACAAGAAAAGTGTGTAAGTTATGAATGTGTTACTGGCATAAACAGAGTTAACAGAACATAGGTACAACGTACAAATAAAAAAGTTATGTGTATAACCTATATCAATTGCTTGAACACTTTGCAAGACATGGATCCACTTGAAACTAAGAACACAGTTCATGCATAGTCATTTGTTGGCCTCATAAATGCCTTTTATTTGTGCTTCATTCATAATTTTTATGATCGGGGATGAGTCATCTTTCCACACCAGAACTTCACCTACCGAGGTCCAGCAATATTTATACTTCAGATTTTTTGACAATTCCCTCGCTAAGTAGTACAGTTTATTACCATTAGGTGTGAGATGGTCAGAGATAAAAATAGGGGTACATGTTGCCTTTAGACCTAGGTTCTGGGTATTTAATTTATTATTCTTATTATGGTTATTGTACTTTTTAGCAGCGCTTGTAATGTTCATTTTCTGGACGTAAGTTGACATTTCGACAACAATAGGCTTTTTATCAACCTTTATGGTCGTCCTATAAATATCCTTTATGTCGTTACTTTGTATATTGACCTTAAGTGATGTAGATAAATTGCTTACCATGCTCAACAACGTTTCTTTGGATTCATTTTCCGATCTTGGGACATTTTTCAGTTCAAATGAACATTTACGTTGGGCTTTCATGAGATTTTCCACCTTATTTTCAAGTATAGTAATATGTTCCTTCTGTTTGTGCCTCTCTTGCTCCATAAGGTCCACTTTTTTACACATGTCGTCGTATTTGGTTGAGAGAAAAGTCAGTGATTCCTCTATGGATCTCAACGCAGATGTTACTTCTGTTCTTTCGCTGTTTTGCTGATCCATCCATGAAGTAATCATGTCCTTCATTTCTGTTTTAAAATCCGCTAAATCGGTCAGAATTTCTTCGGAGCGCTTTCTCTTAATTCGTGAGCTAACAAAACTGGGAGGCGATGTTTCTTTGTCGTCGGAGACGCTAGGCAGGTTGGAATCAGAATTGCATTTTTCCGATGTTCGAAACATTTTCAGAGTTCTCGTACAGCCTCAAACTTATTTCCAGCTCAACAAAGTGTAGAACAAATTAACAGGTTATATTTTATAGTCGAGAGTTACGGCGTCACTTGTAGTAAGCGTTTTGGCAGTTGATAGGTATGCTTCAACTAATGTCGTGATCTCGTAGCATGTAGGTATTTCGTAGCGAACGTAGTAGAAGTGTCTACGGCGTTTGACGTAGTTACAAAGATCATGCAGGGAGGAAAGAGATGATAAAAATAAAAATACAAATACCATCCGTCTTTTTTTATCACCGCTTGCTGCGTCAGTGAGCAAAGATGCGATGCAGGAACGAGAAGGCAATTATTAAGTCTATTATCTTACTCGCACGTTCCCCACCGTAGCCGGTCGCTGGTGTTAAATAGTCAAATGCACTTAATATTATTGATAATTTTTAACTATTATGAGCCTCATTGACACACACGCCCGCGCACGTCTGCTCTCGGCAAAATCACGAAGTAAGAGGAGTAATGTCCGAATATGCGGAGTGAGGAGGGACAGTTATTTCGTATGGAAGCGACTGATGGGTCACAATGCGGCACAGAAGAAGAGGGCTCGTATGGAGGCTGGTTGCGGTGTGAGTGACGATCCTGCTGGGTCGAGCGGCTCGTACATAGTGCGGCAGCGGTAGCAATCCTATCATCGTAGTCTCAGGGCATTGGATACAAATTCATGTAGAAACAGGTTAAACTATATCTTGTATTAATGAAAGAATTTATAAAACATAGTTTAAGATTAGCTTTTCACTTATTAATGATAGTTAAAAATTAAGTGGTTATAATGGCAATTGTATAATTTCACTTGGATATATACGAGTAATTATATCCTACAATAATGTTAGTAAGTCACTAAAATTATATGTTATTAGAAACGGTGTGATACCGTTATTGGGAATAGGATGGCTTAAAGATTTTAAAATAAATATATGATGATTCAATGTCCAGCAACGTTAGCCGATGCAATTGCAAGACGTTTGTAGAAAGCTATCCTATAGATAAATTTCTAGGCGAGCAAGTCACATTGCGCGTGTGGGTCGACGCGTCCCCTGTGTACAGAAGCGTGGGCCCTCTGCTCCTAGCTTTAAGACCGCCAGTCGATGCTGAGTCACAGCGTATGGAACGCGCAGGTACAATATCACCAATTCCGGCCTCCGATTGGGCCTCGTGTCTAGTATTAGTCCTAAAATTAATAGTTTTTTACGTATTTATGACAACTATAAAAGCACCGTTAACACGGTCTTAGAAATTCATCGGTATCCACTTCCTTTTATTAAGTTGCAACGCAAGCGCGTGGGACGTGGGGGCGGTGATGACGCATCACACTGAGCACTCGCTGCGAGTGGCTGGTGACCTACGCTTCACGCACACTTACAAACGTAGAAGCAAATTATAGGCAAATGCAACGAGAGGAGCTCGCAATCGTATTCGGAGTAAAGAAGTTTCACTCGTATTTGTATGGGCGTAAGTTTATCTTTCGCACAGACCATCAGCTATTGTTACGATTTTTGGATCAAAAAAAGAATTACCTCACACTACGGCGGGATTAGTTAGATGGGCGAATTAATTATCAGGATATCAGTAAAAAAAAATACAGTACATTCGATCATCAGCAAATCGGGCTGATGCACTTTCTAGATTACCTTTAAACGTGGCTGACGAGTATAGACAAAACTATAATAATATTTATTTAAATTTCATAGAAAACAATTTTTCAGTAAACTTTAATGGGTAAAAATTTAGAATCGTATAACAGAAGAGGGGGCAGGGGATGAGGCAAAGGTAGCAGAGGGGAGTGTGCTCTAAACCCCGACACCACTCCCATCAAAAGGTGATAAACCATTCTTGAGAAAAATCAAGGGTTGTGTGTGTGTGTGTGCTCAAGTATTTCTGGATGGTAAAATAAAAATAAGCAGGCTACGCTGCGCTTTGCTCCTGCCACAACCATAGATAATACACTAAGTATATACCAAGGACACAACCTTCTTACCTATTACAACTGAAAGTATTTCTGGGTGCTCAAGTATTTCCGGGCACAATAAAAACTACAATAATGAGGGCATCCACGATTTTTTCGACTACCACAGCGGCGCCTCTTAAAAATGACGTGTAATATTTTACAGATTTCATAGCGGTGAAGTTAATTAGTTCGTAAAAAGTTTTTTTTTTATTAATTAGTATATTTTGTGTTAATTATATTAAAAATAAATAAACCAAACCCCAGATATTCATAAAACTAGAACAGTTAAAAAAGTGATAAAATGTGTAAAAAAAATTAAAGAGCAAACCACCGCGGTATTTTGTGTATTAATATGATACTCTAGAAACTGATCATTTTTTATTTTAAACTAACTTCTCATTTAAATGACATAGTGTAACAAAAAACCTTACCTCAGTGTCAAGTAGCTACATCTGGTGAGTGGAATACAAATTAGCCCTCATACACTGGAGAGCACACATTCACGTAAGAAGAGCAACTCTCTATTATATATATACAGTTATCTATGAGAGCAACCAACGGCGGAATCAAAGAATATATAATGCATAATGTACGTTGTGCGATCTGACACTTGATAGAGAGCATAGACCACCGAAGAATAAAAATACCATAGAAGTATAATAATGTGACACTAGTACGTCCTTATCGCACTTACATAAAATGAAACGTAGACATACGATCGAAATAAAAAAAAATATCAGGTTCAGCCGTTAACTCCGCAAACATATTAATCATGAAATGTGAAAAAAAGAAAGAAACAGGTATATAATAATTCATGTTTTGCTATTCTATTAGCAGTGTCACCCACCATCGTCTTTTATTTCTCTTCTATTTTTTATTCAAATAATAAAGATGCATAAAATAAGTATTTGCCGACATATAATATAGCGCAACCGCATCATCTATCATCTTGCGTCTAGCTGAATTATCACGACTTTTTTAAACTGCTAAGTTTTTAACAATGTGGCTAGTGGAGTTCGCCGTAGAATGAAAAGTTTTATTGCGATAACGCAACACTAATTTTAAGCATTATGCTACGGCCATATTGTCGCGATATAATAACATGTGAATAACACTATTGACATACATATTTATGCTTGTGTTTACTCTAAGACTATGACTAATCTCTCACAACACGTAAATAAAACGCAGTGATTATATACTCTTTGTCTGAGACAGCAACAAGCCTCTATAAAACTATAGTACATTCAATATTCTCTATGCGTTATCCTGGCAGTCGGTGACAACTGTTAGTTTTTGATTGGTCAATTATAAAAATATGAACCAATACGAATCCACCATAGAGTATATTTACAATTTTGTTCAATCTTAACCAATGAAATATCTGCCGCTGTCGCTGCCGATGCCAAAGTCCATAGTAAACTGCTTTGATAATTTTTTCGGTATTCGCTTTTCGCTTGTCATTCTCGTACTCTCAGATTCCAATTATCTGCTAATATTAAACAGTAATAAAAAGATTTATGAATTATTCCAAGAAATATAAGTACTAAATGAGGAGCATGGTAAGAAATCGACGAGTCTTAATTATTAGTGCTGACATTTTTGTTTATATTTATTGAGGATATCCGGTAATTTTACCACCCGTATGTCGCTTATGGTCTCAATTCATAATCATGATATTTTGTTTTAATTTAATTAAAACGTTCATGTGAATGGTATGACTCAGTTCCATTCACACTTTTTCAAATACACTTAAATTTAATATTATTTTTTCAGATGGCTCTATTTAATCGTAAAGTATATCTTTACGGCTTGTTGATACTATTTGGGACTGCTTTTGTAAGATCTGACAGCGACGATGAAGGAGTTACAGTTGAGGTTAGTGTACGGCAATTCTGTGACCTAATTATCGGAAATATTGTATTATTAATTGAATAATTGTAATAGAGTAATTGAATAATTGTATTATATTTTTTTTATGAAATCCACTGTCAATCAACTTATAGTATTATTGATTATAAATTAAATTAATTATTATTATTGAATTTTATGTATCCTGTATATTCAAATGTATTTTTATCTAAATAAAGAATAATCAAAGAAAAAAATAAAGGAAGTTGCCATAAAAAATAAGTGCAGTCATGAAGTAAAAGTACTCATGTTCAAGCAGTAGTTTTTTATTAGTATAATTTTTATTTATAAAAATACTAGCAAATCATTACTATTGTTCCATTTAACTACTACTGGTATGCTTAAAATGCTTAGGAGTGGTTCACAGTAGTAGTTGATTGGTGGATATGAACACACAACCTTTTAACCCTTTTGATGTCTCATGTACTACATATACTTCATTGCTATTGTCTTACTATTGCATCTCAAAATGGTACATTGAAAATGTTAAGTTTGTGGTCCATCCCCGCCATTAGGCTACACAGGGTAATTAAAATAAAAAATAAAATATCTCTTTTCAGTAAACTTTTTTATGCAGTCAGGTTTTTTAATTGACTGTTTGAACTAAATTTTACTATGTGTAGACTTGACTGATATTGATATTTACTTTGTTCCTATTTAGCTATCTAACTATGGCAATCAGATAAGAGTAATGCATATAATTACTATTTTAAATGCTAAGTTTTTGCTTTCTATATATTAATATTATTTTTGCTTGCTTGTTAGTTGTAATAATGTTTTCTGTGCTAACTTGTTTATAAAGAATACTTTGAAATACTAATATTGTTAATGAAATTTATGAATATTAGTATCATCATCATTGCATCTAGCCATATGGCACAAGTTCCTTGGTAAACACAGGCTTCCTCCACAGAATCCACAAAACAGTTAATGCTACAAAAGTTCACAAAGGAATAGATAGACTCATACTTACATTTGAATTTCCCAACAAAATTCTATAATCATAAATTGATTTGCATCTATCTATATAAATAAAATGATAGAGGTTTGCAGTTGTGCGTGCATCATGGAATAACTACAGGATAGATTTCAATTAGGTTTCCTAAGTTTTATTTCTTAGACACTTGGCCTTATCTAAAAAAAAATTATTATATATATCTTCATTTAATATAAAGTTATTAAAGTTTTAAGAAACAAAGATTTTTATAAGCAATACGAGTTCAATGACATGTGTAAGCAACACGGACAAAGTAGTGGGTATCAGCTAGTCTATCATATATTGCTAAATGTTTAAATACCTAAAGGCATTTATATGTCACAACAAGTTGACAGTGTTGCTTGCAATTTCTTAACTAAGAAACTGATTAGACTGCATTCTAAATAAACTACAAATTTAAGACCCCAGTTAGGGCATATAAGCACAATAAATAGCCATTATCGATGCCTACTTCAACAAGTGAATTGTGACATGTTTTTAAGAAACTTGTATGTAGTTTTAACCAGAGCTTGATCGCGGATAAAGTATGAGGTTTTTGCTACCGGCATAAAATATTGATATCAATATTTTTTGTAAGGTAGGCCAAAAGCGGTTAAAATTCACCGGCATAAAATAACAGTAAACCTATTTTTAGGGGTATTGTTATACCTTTATATATAACCTTTACATAACCAAAATTATATTGGTAACCAAAAATATCTGTTCTTTTACAAAAAGAAGAAAACCTATAAGTTAATAATTAGGTAGTGCAAAAAATAATGCATTATTTTTCAATATCGAAAAATTTATGTATTTGTTATTTTAAGATATTGCAATAATAAGGTATGACGTCATACATTTAACCATTATAACCCATAATTTTTCGGCCATGCAAGCCCTGGTTTTAATAGTATTTGGAATTTTTCATCTTATTAGTTAGTTAGTACATGTATAAAATTCCTTTCCAATTAGCAATATTTAAAGCTAAAGGATGCATTTTATTTGTAATTTTGTTCACATTCTTTTTTAGTGCAAGAGCATCATGTAGCAAATGTTATTCAATAAATCTATAAAAGTAATGTATTATTCATTCACCATTTTTCACATTGCCTGTACTTGTGAACTCATCATATTGTGTTCTTAGATATACACTATCTATTTATTTGTTTATTTTATGGTTATATGGCATTTGTAATGAGAACAACATAACAATAACAATAAGCACATAGTTGATATTAAATGGAACAGTCATCAGCACCACATTTATTATAACAATGGTTCATGAATTTTTTATTTTTTATGTCAGTTTTTAGTCATCATCATCACCATTACAGCCCATCACAAATCCACTGCTGAACATAGGCCTTCTCCAAGGAATGCCACAAAGCATGACCCATCTACATCCATTGACTTTCTGCATCTCTCACCATTTCGCAACTCCATCTAACCAGGGTCAACCTACACTTCTCTTATGCCTGAATTTGAGGCTGTCACTTGATCATCTTTCTTCCCCATCAGTTGCCAGTTCTTTGAACTATATGGCTGGCCCATTATTATTTCTGCTTACTGATCCATTGCGCTATGTGGATTACTTTGGTTCTAATGCGGATATACTAATTTCTAAGTCTATCACTCAGAAAAACTCATAGCCTTCTACATAGCCTAGCAACTTTGAGCTTCCTCACATTTCGATTTCCAGGGAGTGAATGTAATCTTTTCTTTCTTTAATTGTACAGATAAGCTATTTATTCTTATAAAGTCGGAATTCGAAACTTTTCTATATAGTATTAGCTTATTTCAAGCTCATGAACTGAAAATATACTTGTAACAAATGATACAAGTTTACTTAACTATACAATACAATTGCCGTTGAGTTTCAAACTAGTAATGTCTTAATTTTTAGTGACATACTATGTTACTAATTATTTTTTAATTACTTGTTAAATTGCTAATCATTGTTAAGTTCTAAATCCTGTGTAATTTAAATCAAATTTATATATTTGATGAATGATCAATTTTTGGATTTTGTAGACTGTCGAAGAAGAGGAACAATACCGCAGTCCACAGATAAACCCAAAAAATGTATATTTAGCTGAGCACTTCGATGATGAGGCAGCATTTAAGAGGAAATGGGTCAAGTCAGAAGCCAAGAAACAGGGAGTTGATGAAAATATTGCCAAATATGATGGCAAGTGGGAGGTATGTATTATATTATAGTATGTATGTATTATATATTATAGAGATAGACAAGTTGCACTAGGATATTTAGGATTATCTGACGTCCGAAGAGAGGGGGCAATCGACATAGTAATCTTTGAATCCGGCAACTTGTTCTATCATCGGGAAGGCAATCTTTCCCAAGAAGGTGTGGGATTTATCGTCCACAAGTCCCTTGTTAACAATGTTGTAAAGATTAAATGTGTTAACGAGGGTTGCGTACCTTGTACTCAGAATCACCAAACGGTATTTGTTTGAAGGTCATACAGGATAGAGGAAATGTATGAGGATATCTCTAGAGCCATGCATACCTCCAAAACCCACTATATGATGTTAATAGGAGAATTCTACGCAAAACTAGGCACAAGAGAGAATGATGAGCTGAAGGTAGGGAAATTCGTGATAGGGCAACAGAACCCAAGAGGCCAGCAGCTGGCCGTTTTCATGGAGAAAGTGTGACTCTTTATGATGAACTCTTTCTTCCAAAAGCAGCCCCTCAGAAAGTGTACCTGGTCGAGCCCCGATGGTTCAACAAAAAATGAGATTGACTTCATTATGATGACTAGACGGCAACTGTTCAGTGAAGTCTCTTCTTCTTTAGTAAAGTGAAAACTGGCAGCAATCACTTCTATCTTTTCTTTTTTTTTCTTTTTAAAAAAAAACGTTACCCCCACACTAGGATTTTCTCCTGTGTCGTGGAGGCAGTTTACAAACATAAATTGCACAAGGACAAACATCCAGACCCGTAACAATTATTTGTAGGCCATACAAATATTTGTTCCGTGTGGGATTCGAACCCGCGGCCCCTAGCGCAACAACTCATTGCTAAGCCACTGCGCCACGGAGCCGACAAATCACTGAATGGTGAGAGGCCCACTGAACCTAAACAATTAAGTTGAAGAGGTCAGATCTTATATGAAGTCAACACTCCATCCCCATATAGACGACAGTGTAACCATCTCTGTATGCCAGGTGTTAAATATGTGTGGCGGCGCTGTCGATGTGCCACAATCGGATTGCACCAAAGCCTAAATCACGCTATCAAAGTTCTGAAGTACTGCAATATATATAGAATAGCCCTGTACTACTATGTTGAGCGTTCGCTGCTCCCCGAGCTGACTCAGTGGGACTCCCCTTGCTCAGTGGGAGATCTCCTTTACTTCCATGGTCAAATATGTATATTGGAGACTGGAAGCAGCATCAAAGGTACAAGACATTTGGTACTGTGATCGCCTTAGCCTGCCAAGTGTTACAATTAGAGCTAATCCAGAGAAGCCCATTCTCAGGTACCCTTTTATAGGCTTATGAAACGCTGTTGATGGCATCACTTAATAAATGAATACGTTTTTGTAGATTCAAGCACCTTCAAGGCGAATCCTCAAAGATGATCTTGGATTGGTTCTGACAACTGAAGCCAAGCATGCTGCCATTTCTGCTCTCTTGGATAAGCCTTTTGAGTTCAAGGATAAACCATTTGTAGTCCAATATGAAGTTACAATGCAGGTAAGATATTTGTTTTTGAATATCCCACCCTAGCTTTGTATACGTAGGATCTGTTAATGTGGTGATATTAAGATTCAAGATAATCAAAGACCACTTATTCTATTAACTATTCATTTTTCTACCGACTTATAAAAGGAGGAGGTACTCAGTTCGACTGTATGTTATTTTTTAATGTGTGTTATCTCATAAAGTTGTTCTATGTGAACCGTGATTCTTTTTTTATTTGAAAGCTGGTGCTTCTCGTGTGGTGTCATATAAATTTGATCAAGGTCTGACCAATAGTTTTTAAGTTATCCTTAATAATATATACTGAAGTTGGTTGTACAAATTTTTTAATTTTAAATTATTTTCAGAAAAGTCTCCCAAGGTTTTCGGATAAAATATAGCCTAAGTTACTCCTGACATTGCTCTCTATCTGTTAGTGAAGATTCATTACAATTGGTTCGGCCTTTCTAAAACTATCCCAGACAGACATGCAGTACAAATAATGGCATGCAAATACCCTCTCAGCTTTATATATATAGATAACTATTTTTTTTATAAAAGAGGTGTCTAATGAACAATATCGACTTAATTCTGATGATATTTACTAAAAATTTCTCTACATAGTATAAAACAAAATTGCTTCCCGCCGTCTGTACTCTTAGATATTTTAAACTACGCAACGGATTTTGATGTGGTTCATCAATAGACAGAATGATTCAAGAGGAAGGTTTATAGGTATAATACATGCATATTATATATTATATAATTCTTCTGTCCGTGTGTATGTCTGAACTGCTGGCTCGGCTGGACCCATTTTGAAGAAATTTTGTGTGTATTATTATGTTTATTAGAGAATGTTTTATATTCACAATTCGACCCGGCAGGTGGCGTAGTCACAATAAAAATCTAAGAAGTGTCACAAGTAGAAATACTTATATGTCGTTTCACTCTTTCTATTTAATTTGCAAATATGAAACCTACTACAGCATAATATCAACATAATATCAGTTTTTTATAGTATTAAGGTTCAGAAAATAGCACACAGTCCACCTGATGGTAAATAGTTGCTGTGGCCCATAGACATCTACATCTATCTTCGACTATGAATCAAAATGCAGATGCGTTGTCACCTGTGAGGACTAAGATGGAATGCCTCATGTCCAGTAAAAGAGGTCTACTCTACACCATACGAAACAGTAGCGTTAAGCTGCATTTCACACTGGTATCCTGTGAGAGCGTGGTCCTTCCCCGGTCGAGCCGACCCAATTGTGCTACAACTGTCATAGTATAACAGCATGCCTCTACCATGTATCTGAAATCAAAATTTCAATACCTGAGAAATTCTCATAATTTTTCCATTCCCTTCTTTGGTTAATCTTAAGCTGCTCACTCCTTTACACCGTACTGGTTACTTATCTCACTCTTTCGCCATCTCGGCCATCAGACTCCGGAACGATATCCCTCTTGACATTAAAAAAGCTCTCAACAAGTTTGTTTTTAAAAATCAATACTGTAAACATGTGAAAATAATTGTTGCAAGTTAGAACTAACACAGCTCTTATTTTCATTTATATTTCATACTTGTTCTGACATACGTATATATATGACATAGGTATATATTTATCTATTTATCTATATAAGTTTTTTAACCCTTTCAATATGGTTATTGCTCCACTACCTCTTATATGTGTATTTCTGTTTAGCCTAATGTTTGACTAGTAGAGAATGCCCTATGGCATTAAGTCCGTCGTATCTACCACTTTGTGTATGAAAGTACATATAAATAAATAATGATACGTCATTTTGCGTCATTTGTTTTATTTGCCGTGATAGCTCATTAGAAAAGCTTATAGCACATGACACAATGTACTACCAAGTGAATAAATTATTTTGATTGCATCGAATTATGAGAATAGGCACGCTGTTCCTTAAGAAAACAATGCTGAAAGTAACAGTTATCGGTATTTAACATTCGCAACACTAATAAGCTTATCGTATCGCGGTAAAAACATTTTTTCAACTCTGTCGTGGATTATTGTGTAATTTTTATTGGATTTATTCGCTTGTCTAGGCCATTCCGTCTTTGACTTCGATTTATATATTTGCGTTGCTAATGAGGATCTAGAATATTCCTAATAATCTTCATACTTTAGTAACAGATTAAATATAAATATGTCTTATGTCTATTCATGTGAAAGTTGATGTGTTTTTTGGCTGAGTACCATGACAAAAACTTCCTAATAAGAAAGTTATGAATTGCTCAGTAGTTTTAGGTTATTTATTTTTGTAATAATTTTACAATATTATCAAAGGTAATTGTGGATGTAGAGAGACCTGAGAATCACTAGTACACGTCCAGACCTTAAAACCAATAGATGTTATTGTACAAATGGTGAAACCAAATAAGATTCGAACCTTATACTCTGTAGTCATATACTAAAACATCTAAGCCCTGTGATCTGTTTACAAATCCTGTATTGAACGTTTGTGACAAAGCAACTCGCGAAAATTAATGTATTTGCTTGCACGAGAGTTCAAAAACACGAGAACATTATTACAAAGGATGCAAGCGCTTTTGGCGTTCGTCCAGACTTTTCATGAATTTATCATAAAATAAGCCAACCATATTGACGTCACTATAAGCTATTGCGTTGTGCTTACGGACCAGAAATAACATTTAGGATACTACTTTAAGATTGATTATAACATAAATTAAAAATTTGAAAGCTCCCGAAGCAAAAAGAGCTGATGATCTTCAAACAGCTGAACAGATTTTCTTGAAAGATAGCTAAGAACACTGTAGATTAAAACTCCTTTCAAACGAAAAAACTTAATCAAAATCGGTTCATCCGTTTAGGAGCTATGATGCCACAGACAGACACAAGTACACAAATATACACTACAGACATATCCTCTGTTTTCATCGGAGGTTAAAAACATAATCGATCAAATTATAATAACGTTCAAAAATTTTAATAAAAAAGATTTAATGAAATAACTATTTGATAAAAATAATGATTTCATTGAAAGAAATAAATCTTTATACGTGGTGGAGCTATGCTGCAGCTATATTAGTAGTATAGTTGTAGCACGAATGGGTCGGCTCGACCGGCGAAGGACCACGCTGTCACAGAAAATTTTTTTTTGTATTTTTTTTTTAAATCGTGGAGGCAGTTTACAAACACAAATTGCACAAGGACAAACATCCAGACCCGGAACAATTATTTGTAGGCCATACAAATACTTGTTCCGTGCGGGATTCGATCCCGCGGTCCTCAGCGCAGTAACTCATTGCTAAGCCACTGCGCCACGGAGCCGTCATAAATAGCAACTTAACGCTGCTTTGTTTTGGTATGGTGAGTGCAAAGAACCGGACACCCATTTGACTGGAAAAGAGGCATTTTATCTTAGTCCTCACGGCTGACAACGCATCTGTATTTTAATTCGCAAACGAAGATAGATGAAGATGTCTATGAGCAACGGCAACCACTTACCATCAGGTGGACTGTGTGCTTTGTCATACTTATTCTATAAAAAAAAAATATTGTGATATTTAAGGCGAGTGCTTAGCCCTTGAGCAATCACGGCTCAATATACTAAATAAGTAACATTAAATTTGAACAAATAATAAATTGATTACCATCCTGGCTCCTGATAATACCATAAAAATCCATTTATAAAAAAATCATTACCTATCTCTACAGGAATATACTAAAGCTACTAACATTAAATTTGAACAAATAATAAATTGATTACCATCCTGGCTCCTGATAACACCATAAAAATCCATTTATAAAAAAATCATTACCTATCTCTACAGGAAGGCCAAAACTGCGGTGGTGCATATATAAAACTGCTCTCTCGCGGCACCAACACTAAGGCCGATCTTCGCAAGTTCCACGACCAGACGGCTTACACCATTATGTTCGGTCCTGACAAGTGTGGCAACGACAACAAGCTACATTTCATCTTCAGGCACCAGAATCCCAAAAACGGGACCATTGAAGAGAAGCATAGCAAAAAGCCAAGGTATTAACAAAAACCATGATCATATTTTACCCATCTAGACTGATTCCTAAAGAAGCTCTATAACACTAGCTTTACTAATCTATTTATATTTTTATATTATTTATCAGTCAAGGCAATACATACTTTAAAAACTAAAAGCATTACTCATGAAAACTGATGTCAATTTAAGAAACTCTGAAAGTTGCTCTCACTCTTTTCACTACATGACAAATGAAAGAAACAGATATAACGACAATACTTAGTTAGTAATAAATTCAATAGTACATGACTATATGTGAGGCCGTACTTGTGTGAGTGAATTAATTATAAAATTGTCCTCTTCTAGCCAACGCCTGGATGATATCTACAAAGACAAGGAGCCTCATTTGTACACGCTGATTGTCCGGCCTGACAACACCTTTAGTATCCTGGTTGACAGCAAGGAAGTAAACGCAGGGTCGTTGCTTGAAGATTTCACGCCTCCCGTCAACCCGCCAGAGGAGATCGACGACCCCAATGACAAGAAACCAGAAGAGTGGGACGAGAGGGAGAAGGTATTTTAAAGTTTAAATCATTTTTGCAACGAGCCATGAGGTGTTGATGTTTAAAGATATTTAATAAATCTTGTAGCACCAAATATTACGTAGATACCAAAAATTTAAGTTAAATAATACATAACATATTTGGTCTTGATTTATTGGTTAATTGAGTCTTTAGTTTTTACCGCGTTTTTATTATCTCGCTTTCGTGTATCAGACTCGGATGACAAGGTGTAAGAATATTAAAAAAAACGTGGTATATTAAAAACACATAATTTAAAAAAATCACTTGTTAAGACATCTTTGCACAAAAAAATCCCTTAGCCGCTGCGACATAGTCTAGTCTCTAACTACCATACTTTACGTTTTAGTTCGCCATTCCGTGGACTTCTTCTTTACACAGATTCTAATTTTAAACTTGAGGCTAATTATAAACTATTTTTTTAATAATATGGGTTTAAGTTTTATTACAAAACGAAGTTTATTAAGTGTCACGAAAGAAGGTAGAGTCATGAAAATAAAAAAGAGCAAGTGAATTTATACTATACATAATAAACACACTGTAAAAATGGCAGATTAAATCAAACACATTTTTGAAATTCTGAAAATACAACTTTGGGATAGTCTGCCCCTATGTCAACCCCTTCAGAAGTGTCTGCCATTTTTTTTCTTAATTCTTTGTCAACTTAGCTGACGGATAGTCATTATTATTATTTGAATCAAACACTTGTTTTTGGGCAATTTCTTTTGCGACTTACCTGTATGCGCAGTACCAAGTGTACCCAGGTAGGGCAGACAAATAGTCATATCTAGGTTTATTGAGTGAACTGATACTTTTCAAAAAAGTTTCATAATGCATAAAACATTTTTTGAAAAAAGCGTCATGAGCTTCTCGGATCAGTAGTGTGTTTCAGATAATTAAGTTTTTATATGCAGATAAAATATTATGGAACCTGCTTAGTGTGTGACATGCTTTAATTGATAGTAAATGTAGATGTCTACAGGCCACAGCATCCAGGTACCATCAGGCGGACTGTGGGCTCGCATGTGGCTCAGTCTTCGCGAAATTTTTGCGAAGACTGCGGCATCCATACCTCTATACTTTACATATTAGTTTGCATATTTTTCGCGAGACTCATTTATTGAAACAGATTTTAGTTTAAACCTGAGACTTATTGGACGTAGTTATACAAAAAAGTTTCAACTCACATTAGGGTCAAAAATTTGTAAGAAGATGGAATGTGTCTGACAGTTGGGCACAGGCCTTAATATCTGACAGCAAAAGAGTTCTTCCAAGCTTATACTACTGATTAGTTAATTGGATTTTCATGTCTTTCAATATTTTTAATTTCTTATACATGCAGGATTCCTCATGATGTTTCACTTCAGCTGGTAAATCAGGCACCTTAAATCTGGAGTAATAATGATTTCTTATTAAATATTGTAAGAAAATATTCTCAAAATTATTTAAATAAAAGAATGCTACTCGGTAACAAACCTTACTTACTATCAGGACGCAATTACATGATAACACCAAAGTAAGCAAACCAACAGCATCACTACCTATCTCAATGTAACACAAGGCAGCCTTTCAGCAACACGATCTTTCTTGTCTACACTAGTAAAATACCCCAATGGGCATAGTAAGGATAATGAGACTCGTAGAATTACAGACTGATCTTAGTGGTCTGCACGATACTTTATACTGCTAAAACAAGGGGGAGATAATCATTCTACCTTCATTTTTTACGTGGTAGAGCCATGCTGCAGCTATATTAGTAGTATAGTTGTAGCACGAATGGGTCGGCTCGATTGGGGAAGGACCACGCTCTCACAGAATACCAGCGTAAAATAGTAGCTTAACAATGCTGTGTTTCGTATGGTGAGTGTAGAGAACCGGAGACCCTTTTTACTGGAAATGAGGCATTCCATCTTAGTCCTCACGGGTGACAGCACATCTGCATTTTGATTCTTTATTGAGGTTAGATGTAGATGTCTATGGGCCACAGCAACCACTTACCATCAGGTGGACTGTGTGCCCGTTTGTCACCCTATCCTATAAAAAAAAATTGTATTTCCTTTTATTTTTTACCCTCATTCCCGACAATATATTAATTTGATCATTATACAACCACTGGCTTTATTATCATTTATCATCAGTATCATAATTAGCTGCAGCCCATCACAAGTCCACTGCTGAACATACCACATGCATCCATTGTTTTCCTGCATGTTTTTTTTTTTTTTTTTTTTTTTTTTTATAGGATAAGGGTGACAAACGAGCACACAGTCCACCTGATGGTAAGTGGTCGCTGTGGCCCATAGACATCTACATCTATCTTCGATTAAGAGTCAAAATGCAGATGCGTTGTCACCCGTGAGGACTAAGATGGAATGCCTCGTTTCCAGTAAAAAGGGTCTCCGGTTCTCTACACTCACCATACGAAACACAGCAGCGTTAAGCTGCTATTTTACGCTGGTATTCTGTGAGAGCGTTCTAGGTTGTCACCCAATCTAGTCCAGGTTGAGACTGCCACTTGAGGACCTTTCTTCCCAATTGGTTGCTAATTCTTGTAGCTATATACCTAGCCCATTGCCAGCCACTATGGATACTGCTAATTTTGATATGTGTAATTATTACTGTGATTTTCTTATCAATTTTTCTCTTTCCTTAGATTGTAGACCCAAGCGCCACCAAACCAGATGACTGGGACGAGGAGGCACCGGCTCAGATAGTTGATCCCAATGCTGTGAAACCTGATGGATGGCTGGATGATGAACCAGAGATGATCCCAGGTCATTAATTTCATTGCTAATTTATTCCTTTACATAATTATGCTCTAATTTGTGAATAAAGGGAAAAAAATCTTAAGGCTTAAAATGTTTTGTCAATTATAATATAAATTAATCAGTTGAATGTAGTTGTGCAAAAAGTAGTCATTAAGGTACACCAACCGAGGTCTCAATCATCTTTTTATTCTAGGCCGTGGCTGAGAGGAATCAATGAGAGTAAAAGAATGTTATTTGAGCGATTAAAGATGGACTTACTGGCTTTACTGTACAGTTACATTTTGCTTTTTATCATGTGCAAATTTTACTGGTGTTTATTTCACTGTATAAAAGTATAATTTAAGAAGTAGTTGCCCTGGTTGTATCTGTCAATATTTAGACTTATTTGATTATAAAATTCCAGATCCCGACGCCAAAAAGCCAACAGACTGGGATGATGACATGGACGGCGAGTGGGAGGCTCCCCTGATCGACAACCCGGCTTGTGCTGCTGCCCCGGGCTGTGGCCCGTGGAGCCCTCCTCTGATTCCTAACCCCAATTATAAGGTATTTTTTTTATTATTATTTAGCAGGCCAACTAAAAAGTGATTGTTTGGGTTATTATGTGACATGGCATTAATCAATTTGAGGTTATGCCCCTCAGGTGTGTGTTGTTTGAGTACTGGAATAATAGTTCGTCGAAATTTTCTAGATCATAGTATCCATGTGTTACTTTATATGTTTCAATCAATACTGCTCATTCTCTGCTATCTATTATGTATTAGGTATTATCATCGTTTATTTGCTATATTGGGCAACTTAGGTAGTAGGACTCCATTATTGCCAAGGAGTCCATCTGGGTACATCCTGCTTACTGATTTCTGCCGCCAAATAGCAATTTTTGCACTGCTGTAATGTTTGGAAAATGCAATAAATTAAGACTTACTGATGCAGTTTAATAACTCTCTCTTTATTGATTTAGAGGAGACTTATATATAGTAATTGTGACGTAGGTACATAGGTAGGGGGTTGGGTTTGTGTTACGTGGTTCCAGGTATCCTCTTCTATAAATATAATATGATATTACTGAACTAAATAGATATTATTTCTATTCCTTATATGGAGTCCACATTGAGTGATGATATCATTTAATATTCCAGTTATATTGCTTTGTCATAGTACCTACACCACACTGCTTTGTTCTGGTTTGAACGGTGTAGAGAGCCAGTATAATTACAGGCTATGAGGTATTCTATCTTAATCCTCAGAAGTGACACAACACATTTCTAGCCTTCTTTGTTTGAAGTAGGCTGTTGACGTCCATGGACATGGAATCCATCTCTGGTATTGACATGGCAGTAGCCACTTGAAAGGAGATGGATTGCAAGTTTTTTTAGAAAAAAATAGGTCTGTTATTAAGTTTGAATAGGCGAACTGATCATCATTGTTCTCAGCCTATAGATAGTCCATTGCTGGGCATAACACAAAGTGCTTACCTTAATCCAAATGCTTGGTAGAAGAATTGGCCATATGCTTTAAATGCTGCTTCTTATACCTGATCTGATGTTAATATTTATTTTAAAACAATCCAATATTAATATTTATTATAAACTAGCGGTCTGCTCCGGCTTTGCACGGGTGATTGCTGGATCTCGACAACAGCGCCTCCAATTGTAAATCTAAACCACCCAGGGACCCGCTCAGACATAGACAAAAAAAATCATCAAAATTAGTCTAGCCATCTTTCATAAATGGGTCAATTGATTTTTGTTTATATAGACTAGCAATGCGCACCAGCTTCGCACGGGTGAAGCTAAAAAGGCTAAGAATCATCCAGGTCAAGCTGTTTAGTAGGGTGTAATTACAAACACGCACACACCGGCATTTTCTAAATAAAGATATAACTTACTGTTAAGAATTTTTAATTTTGAAAATTACAAACTAGGATTGAAAAAGAGATAAAGAATGATGAAAAAAATTACCGTTTGACTTCAATGACGATAATCAATGGCTGCAATTTTTTATCTGACAATTAACTTCAAACTGTTTAATAGATTTAGATATTACTTATTCACAAGGAAATATACCCAATGTAAATATTTTAGGGTGTGTGGCGGGCCCCGCTGATTCCCAACCCCAACTACCGCGGAAAATGGAGTCCGCGCAGGATCCCCAACCCCCACTACTTCAAGGATGACAACCCCTTCAAGATGACGCCTATTGTAAGTAACAGCAACCTAATCAGTGACTTTAACCCATGTTGCTCAAAAATAGGAATAAAAATTTAGCGATAATAAAAATACACGTCATAATTTTTTTACCAAAATTTCTTACAAAATTGGAACTCATTTCTATTTCTGCTTTTTATTACATACATACATACATAAACACTCGCCTGTCACCCAGAGGGGTAGGCAGAGACTACGGACTTCCATTTGGCACAATCCTGACACCTCTCTCAGCTCCTCCTCATCCATATATCTACACATACATGCCCGTCGGTTAAGGGTAGTCTTAATTGGCCCATTTTCAATCGCCAATTTGGTCGATAAACTTTCGCCTAGGGCATTCCTTCCAGAATCTTTTTAAATTTAATATTAAATGCTAACACCACAACTTTTGTTTTTACTAAAACTCAATAATGATGTGGTCCTTGTTCTGTATATAATGGAATGGCAGGCTATGGAAAGGCAGATATAGATATGTGCGTGAGACTCTTTGTCTCTCTCACGCACATATCTATATCTACCTACCGATATTTTTGCAACAGGAAAGAGTTTGTGAGGCATATCCTCAATGCATATTTTCTGACTTCACATGTGTATTGGATATATTCTTAATTTCCCAAAAAGTGAGTTTCCTGAAATTGGTTCCTTCACCAATGCACAGGTAGCATATATGCACTTAACTCCACGTGTTTACATGGTAGCCATATTGCAGCTATATTATATTTGTAGCACGAATGGGTCGGCTCGACCGGGGAAGGACCACACTCTCACAGAATACCAGCGTGAAATAGCAGCTTAATGCTGTTGTGTTTCGTATGGTGAGTGTGTAGAGAACTGGAGACACTTTAGTGTTACCATTACAGCCTGTCAAGTCCACTGCTGAACATAGGCCTCCTCATAGATTGCCCCTAAGTGGGTATATTTGCCATAGTTGCCACGCTTGGCAGCGAATTGACAACCGCGGTTTTTTCGGTCGGTATTAGACCCAGCCGCTAAATTTTACCGACATACATCGCGGCGAAATTCCAGATTCCATCCACACCATCTGGATGCTTGGTGATCCACCACTGTATGTTTCACTAGGAGTTTTCTTCCGCGTACATTCTCTCTGTGGAATAGCTTACCACCAGCGATTATTCCGAACCGATACGACTTAGTGACCTTCAAGAAAAGAGCTTACTCCTTTCTAAAAGGCCGGCAACGCACCTGCAATTTCCCTGGTGTTGCAGTTGTTCATGGGCGGCGGTAGTCAATTACTATCACTATCTACCCTATGCTCGTTTGCCGCCTCTCCTATAAAGAAAAGGAAGACGCTGCTGCCCATTTCCTGATTTGTTTCCCTCTGTCGCCTCTTACGACACCCACGGGATGAGAAGGGGTAGTGGATATTCTTACACCGCCGCTACACGGTACATTTTACTGTATACGAGGCATTTTACCCTAGTCCTCAGGGGTGACAACGCATCTGCATTTTGATTCGTAATTGAGGATAGATGTAGATGTCTATGGGCTACAGTATCCACTTGCCAACAAGTGAACTATGTGCTTGAGCCAGATAGAATCAAACACGAGTTGCTAATCTGCAATTAAATTTATTGCAAGTGCTCTAAGCTACCATTATTCTAACGTCTATTTTATTTAAAATATATTTACCTATTATCCAGCATGCAGTGGGCTTCGAACTATGGTCAATGTCACCAATGCTTTTGTTTGATAACCTCATCATAACGGACGACCCAGCTGTTGCCGAGGAGTGGGCTCAGCTCACCTATGCAGTGAAACGCGCCAAGATCTCAAGTGAATCGGTAAGTAGTATGTTCCCTTAGCTAATTAGGCACTTTATGTCATATTTTTATGGTGATAATTATTAATCTCTAAATATGTGACGAGTTTTTATCATTACATTGAAATATTACGGTAAGATTTGTGATTAAAATATTAATATAGTGTAATTTAATATCAATAATATTATATTGAGTCATAAACATTTTTTCATATTCACTACATCCTATAACAAACAGAAATAGAATTTAAGTTTTAAACTATTAAATATAAGCCTCAACGTAGATCGTCTCATAAGAAGGATATTTGCCATAGTTACTGTGCGGAGGCGGGTTGGCAAACAAAGATGCTGCTGCACATCTCCTGGTTTGTTTCCCTCTGTCACTCTTACGCCACCCACGGGACGATGTGGGCTAGTGGATAATCTTATACCACAACTACATATTTAAATGGTCAGAAACATACTGACCCTTTAATTTGGCAACAAATTTTAATGGTGACAATTATGATCTGTACAGCGGGGTTATCCAAGTAGTTTTTCTACTATCGTGATTTCTAATAGATAATTAATAATTAAAAATTAAAAATTTAAAATTTTGTACAACCGACTTCAATATAAATTATTAAAGATAACTCAAAAACTATTGGTCAGACCTTGATTAGATTTATTTGGGACCATATGAGAAGCACGAGCTTTCAAATAAAAAAAGAATCATCGAAATCGGTTCACCCAGTAAGAAATTATGAGGTAACACATAAAAAACATACAGTCGAATTGAGTACCTCCTCCTTTTTGAAGTAGGTAGAAAATTTAATGTATGTTCACAAAAACAAAGGTAGTTTAGATATACACTCTGTAAACACTAGGAACAAACACAAGCTAGTGCTGCCAGTTTCTCGACGCCACAGAGTCAGTAATTCATTCTTGGGGCAATGTATACGCTATTACAACAAGGTCCCGGAAAGTGTACAGGCTCCTTCTATTACAAAGTTTAAATGTTTTGTTAACTGAAACTGTATAAAAAGGGTTATTATAACATAAATTAACACATGGTTGATAACCCCTGGGCATGAGGTGGTCGCTTCCAAGCAGTATCTAAAATATATTTAATAAATAGTTTGTACAACCATTAGTGTAAAATTTACTTAAAAATCGAAATAGGTTCACGTAGAACTAAGTTATGAAGTAATACACTTAAAAAAAATATACAGTCAAATTGAGTACCTCCTCTTTTTTTGAAGTCTTTTGAAGAAAAATGACATACATTAATATTAAAGTGTTCTTTTGCTATATTATTAGATTTCATTTATTTTTAGATTTCTATCTGCGTTAATGTTTGTAGAAAATCAAATTAGCTAACCCTGTTAAAATCCAACAAGTTAGAAGATAAGTAAGGTGTAGTAAGAGGTGACAGAGTGAAATTAAACTAGTAGATAGGCAAAAGCATCTTCCTTATAACAAATAACAGTTAAAAACTCAAAATGGCAACTGTTCCCGTTGCCAACCTACCTGCCAAGCAAGACAACTGTGACAAACGTTGCTCCTATGAAGCAATCTATGGATCATGTCTATGTCTATGTTCAACAGTGGACATTTGCTAGGCTGTAATGATAATGAAAAAGATATGGAAACAAATGTTTTAAATGTTCAAATAATACAACTAAAATCACTGGAGTCGCTGAGTCATACTGTCGTTTAATAATTATATATAACATTATTGTGATATGGATATATTTGGTACGGTCAGCAAACACTATGGGGGCGATTGTTGCGTGCAACGAATTACAAGCCGGGACTGTGGGCGATGTACGCCGTCTACTGTGCCATACCAGTCTCCATATACATCGCCTACCTCGTGAAACGTGCCAGAGAGGTTCTTGCAATGCTTTATCAACTACGACTTTGTAATCGTAGGATTGCTAAGGGGGTTTGGGGGGGGGGGGGGCATATTGCAGCTAGTTAAGCTATCGTGATTTTGTATTTATATGATATTTGATGTTTTTAGCGGATATTTTTACAGCTATTGGTTTAAATTTTTTTAGTATGCTATCTCTGTTGATGTGTTTAAGATTATGAAATAATTAGTGTTGCTATTAATAAAAAACTATAAGGTAAATGCATATACGGATATACGCTTTTACAATAAGTCCCAGAAAATATGCAGGCCATATCTATCAAAAGATTAAAATTTTTATTAAGCCAAAATTGTTTAGTAACGGTTATTATACTACTCAAGAGTAAATGATGAATAATAACCCCTGCGAATGAGGTGATCGCTACCATGATGTTTCTAAATGTTTTGATATTATTTTTATAAAATAGGAAAAAAAGTACCACTAGGTTTCTTGATTGTTCTTTCTAGGAGAGGATTTTCAATAAGGGTTCTTGTAATCATATTGATTAAAAATTATTCTATTCTATACTTGTGCCAATATATTTAAGAAACCACTACTTCTGTTGTGTATTTGTGATTCTTATCATGTCATACCAGTGTAAAGTAGCAGCTCAATCAAGTTTCCGATCCATGAGCGCTACCCAGCAGTCATCCATTTAGCAGTCCATTTACAAAATGGACAAAGAATTTATTTCAATGATGACAACCTTCAAGAACGCGTTAATAATCCACCTGCATCGACGCTCATTGGCTTTTTAAAACTCTGTACAAATGACGATTTTGCGAAAACTTTGCTTTACCATCATCATCATCATCATTACAGTGCTTCACAAGTCCACTACTGAACATAGGCCTCCCCCAAGGAATGCCACAAAGCACGGTCCTGAGCCACCTGCATCCATCGACTTCCTGCATATCTTACCAGGTCGTCACTTCATCTAGTGGGGGGACGCCCAGCACTTCGCCTACCGGTACGAGGCTGCCACTCGAGAACCTTTCTTCCCCATCGGTTGTCGGTTCTTCGAGCTATATGGCCGGCCCATTGCCACTTCAACTTACTAATCCGTTGGGCTATGTCGGTCACTCTGGTTCTACTGCGGATATCCTCATTTCTGAGTTTATCACGCAGAGAAACTCCGAGCATAGCCCTCTCCATAGCTCGCTGAGCGACCTTGAGCTTCCTCATCCGGCCAGCAGTGAAGGACCACGTCAGTTCCGTATGTCATCACTGGCAACACGCACTGGTTGTACAGTCTCGTTTTCAAGTTTTGAGGTGTACCTGACGAGAAGATGTGCCGTAATTTCCCGAACGCTGCCCAACCGAGTTGAATCCGTTGATTGACCTCTCGGTCGAAGTTGGACTTACCTAGTAGGACTATTTGTCCCAGGTAAACATACTCGTCAACAACTTCGAGCTTAGTGCTCCCAACAACTACCGGCATAGGTGTGACATGGACATTGAACATGATCTTTGTTTTGTCCACGTTCATCTTAAGACCTATCCGTTGGGAGACACTATTGAGGTCATTGAGCATGGTGCTTAGATCCTCCAGCGATTCTGCCATAAGGACTATATCGTCGGCAAATCGAAGGTGAGTGATGTACTTGCCATTGATGTTAATGCCGTATCCTTTCCAGTCCAGAAGCTTGAAAACGTCTTCCAATGCAGCGGTGAAGTTTCGGGGATATAACGTTACCCTGTCTTACACCTCTCTGCAATTGGATAGGTTTCGTACTCTGGTTTTGTACTCGGATAGCCATCGTAGCCCTACTGTATAAGAACTTCAGCACTTCGATATACCGACAGTCAACTTGGCACCGCTGAAGGGACTTACACCTCTCTGCAATTGGATAGGTTTCGTACTCTGGTTTTGTACTCGGATAGCCATTGTAGCCCTAATGTATAAGAACTTCAGCACTTCGATATACCGACAGTCAACTTGGCACCGCTGAAGGGACTGCAGCACCGCCCAAATTTCGACGGAATCAAAGGCTTTCTCATAGTCCACATACGCAAGGCAAAGTGGCAGATTATACTCCTCTGTCTTCTGTGCAATCTGCCGCAGGGTATGTATGTGGTCCATGGTACTAAAGCCTTTTCGGAAACCGGCTTGTTCGGGAGGCTGGAAGTCGTCAAGTCTGCGTGCGAGACGATTCATAATGACTCGAATACAGCACGTAGACGCGGCTCAGAAGGGAAATCGGTCTGTAGTTCTTCAAGAGAGCGTTGTCGCCTTTCTTGAAGAACAAGACCACCGCACTTCTGCTCCACGCTTCCGAAGTAGTGCCACCGTGGAGGACGGAATTAAAGAGCTTCTGAAGGACTTCAAGTACCGGTTTTCAACCCGCTTTCAAAAGCTCCGCTGTAATTCCATCCTCGCCCGGGGACTTGCCGTTATTAAGGTGCTGGAGAGCCATTCTAATCTTGCTCAGACTGACGTCCGGGATATCTTCGGAATAGTGTCGGATAAGACTCGCTCTTGGATCGTTACTCACACTTGCGTGTGGCTCCGACGATGACGTGTACCCGGAAACGATGCTGCCACACTCGGTCTTCAGCTTTGACAGTTGGCTCTTTCTGGCAGACAGATCTCTGCCGCTCGATTGCTTCTTCAATACAAGCTGTATTGAAGTTGCGTAAGTCCCGTCGCATGCATTTGGAGACTGTATGTATATATGCTGTCAAATCTGTTGAAGAATGTAGCTTCATCTCCCGTCTAACAACCATAAGATTAAGAGTGTGATCGGAGAGTTTTTGTGTTCTTCTGCGGCGGGTCTTGCAGAACTTAGCTCCGACCGCATGGACAGTTTCCACGAGCTTGTCATTCATATCATCCACTTCATTGCAGTTTTCTAGGCACTGAAAACGGTTTTGTAACTCGAGCTGAAAGGTTTCCGGACTTTGGAACAGAGCACGAGGGGGACGGAGCGTTGACTTCATTAGACGAGACCTCTCCAACTTAACGTTTAGGTTCAGTGTGCCTCTAACCATTCGGTGATCGCTATCAGTTTTCACCCTCGCGATAACGGAGACATCACTGAACAGTTGTCGTCTGGTCGTCATAATGAAGTCAATCTCATTTTTTGTCGAACCGTCGGGGCTCGACCAGGTCCACTTCGTGTGGGGCCTGTAGAGTTCATCATAAAGAGTCCCTCTTTCTCCATGAAGTCGGCCAGCTGCTGGCCCCTTGGGTTCCGTTGCCCTATTCCAAATTTCCCTACTTTCAACTCACCGTTCTCTCTTGTGCCGTGTTTTGCATTGAAGTCTCCCATTAACACGGTATATTGGGTTTTGGAGGAATACATGGCTCTAGAGATATCCTCATACATTTTCTCCACCTCCTCATCGGGGTGTGTCGAGGTTGGTGCGTAAACCTGTATGACCTTCAGCGAATACCGTTCGGTGATTCTGAGTATAAGGTACGCAACTCTCGTCGACACACTCGATCTTTACAACGTTGTTAACGAGAGACTTGTGGACGATAAATCCGACACCTCCTTGGGACAGATTGTCGCCCTCCCGGCGATAGAGCAAGTTGCCGGATTCGAGGATTATCGTGTCCTCCCCCTCTCTTCGGACTTCGGATAATCCTATAATATGCCAGCGTAACTTGTCTATTTCTTCTTCCAGCTCCACGATCTTCTCGTCAGTCCTCAGGGTGTGTGCGTTGTACGTTACCAGGTCGAGTCGTCTAAGGTGGCAACCGAACCTCCACCGGAGATTCTTAGCACCCCCTGCCCCGCCGTTACCATGGTTGCCACCGTAGCCAGGAATAGCGGGGTCGCCGGGGACTGGGGGCCGTCTCTTTGTTACTCTCTTCATAGGGGGGTATTTGACATAGTTGCCACGCTTGGCGAGCGGGTTGGCAACCGCGGTTTTTTTTTATTGTAATTAAGGCTACTATCAGGAAGATGCTGCTGCCCATCTCCTGCCTGTTTCCCTTTGTCGCTTTTTACGACACCCACTGGAAGATATGGGGTAGTGGATATTCTTGACCGCCACTACACTTCGATATACCGACAGTCAACTTGGCATCGCTGAAGGGATTGCAGCACTTCCCAAATTTTCACGTAATCAAAGGCTTTCTCATAATCCACATACTCGACACAAAGTGACAGATTGTTCTCTTCGGTCTTCTGTACAATGTGCCGAAGAGTATTTATGTGGTTTATGGTTCTAAAGCCATTTCGGAAACCGGCTTGTTCGGGAGGCTGGAAGTCGTCAAGTCTGCGTGCGAGACGATTCATAATGACTCGAATACAGCACGTAGACGCGGCTCAGAAGGGAAATCGGTCTGTAGTTCTTCAAGAGAGCGTTGTCGCCTTTCTTGAAGAACAAGGCCACCGCACTTCTGCTCCACGCCTCCGGTGTAATGCCACCATGTACGTCGGAATTAAAGAGCTTCTGCAGGACTTCAAATACCGATTTTCCGCTGACTTTCAGAAGCTCCGCTCTAATTCTATCCTCGACCGGGGACTTGCCGTTATTAAGGTGCTAGAGAGCCATCCTAATCTCGCTCAGACTGACATTCGGAATATCGTAGTGTCGGATAAGACTTGCTTTTATGTCGTTACTCACACTTGCGTGTGGCTCCAACGATGACATGTACAGCTGCCCATAGAACCTCTCAATCTCACTCAAAATCTCAGGTGCCTCGGAAAAGATGCTGCAACATTCGGTATTCAGCTTCGTTAGTTGGCTCTTCCTGGCAGACAGATCTCTGGCAAAAACTGGAACCCTGGTTCCGCTCGATCGCTTCTTCAATACGAGCAGTATTGAAGTTGCGTAACTCTCGCCGTATTAATTTGCATATATCTATTATATATCATATCATATCCGTACAAGTATCTGAATTATTCAGTTGCCTATATGCTGTCAAATCTGCTGAAGACTGCAGTTTCATTTTCCGTCTAACAACCACGAGATAAGAGTGTGATCGGAGAATATTTGTGACCTTCCTCGACTGGTCTTGCGGAACTTAGCTCCGACCGCATGGGCAGTTTCCTCGAGTTTGTCATTCATATCGTTCATTACGTTGCAGTCTTCTAGTCACAGGATTTTGTAATTCGAGCTGACAGTTTTCGGGGCGGATTAGAACACGAGGGGGACGGAGCGTTGACTTCATTAGGCGTGACCTCTCTAACTTAACGTATAGGTTCAGTGTGCAACCATTCGGTGATCGCTGCCGTTTTTACCTTCGCGATCACTGAGACATCACTGAACAGTTGTCGTCTGGTCGTCATAATGAAGTCAATCTCATTTGTCGAACCGTCGAGGCTTGACCAGGTTCACTTACTGTGGGGACGCTTCTGAAATAAAGAGTTCATCATAGTGTCTCTCTTTCTCCATGTAGTCGGCCATCTGCGGGCCCCTTGGATTCCGTTGCCCTATCCCGAAATTCCCTACCTTCAGCTCACTTCATCTTGTGCCCAGTTTTGCGTTGAAGTCTCCCATTAACACCGTATAGTGGGTTTTGAAGGAATGCATGGCTCTAGAGGTATCCTCATACATTTCCTTTACCTCTTAATTAGTGTGTGCCGAGGTTGATGCGTAAAAACCGGTATGACATTCTGCGAATACCTATAATATCCCAGTGCAACTCGTCTCTCTTCTTCCAGCTTAAGGATCTCCTCGTCAGTCCTCAGGGTGCGTGCGTTATATGTTGCCAGGTCGAGTCGTCTTAGATGGCAACCTCCATTGGAGCTTCTTAGCACCCCTGCCTCGCTGTTACCATGGTCGCCATCGTAGTCAGGAATAGCGGGGCCGCCGGCGACTAGGGGCCGTCATTTTGTAACTTTCGCCATGGAAGTTTACACATGATGTTTGGGAATCATAGGGGTATATTGCCATAGTTGGCTCGCTTGGCGAGCGGGTTGGCAACCGCAGTTTTTTTATTGTTATTTTGCTGTTATCAAAAAAATGCTGCTGCCCATCTCCTGATTTGTTTTCTTCTGGGGCCTCTTACGACACCCACGGGAAGATATTGTGTAGTGGATATTTTTACCCGCCACTACACGGGCTACAGGTGCTTATGTAATACAGGTCCACTACATGTGTCTATTTTATAATAATAATGTTCTTCAAACTCAATTTTGGTCACAACGGCCACTGTCAACGGAGACTAGACATCTGCGCAGGACATGATTATAGTGCCCAAGTGTATGATGTGCGGTGTTTCACTTCCTTGCCCTATAGCCCCTTGCCCCTTACTCCTTGCTGGAAAGCATTTAAATCCGTTGATCCCGCACCTGATTTCTTTTTGGTTGTATTGGATAACCATCCCATTAGATTATGAAAGTGAGACAATAGAGATTGCACCTGTGCTTGCAACAAACATTCGGGCACTATAATCTTGTCCTGTGTAGATGGCTAGTCTCTGTTTAAATTGGTCACCGTGACGGTCTGGACGACGTTATTTATCACCCGTACTGCACGGTGTGTAAAGGCGATCTAAGGATATCCACTACCCGATATTATCCCGTGGGTTTCAGAGGGGCGACAGAGGTAAACTGAAACAGGCAATGGCAGTTTCATTTTTCTAATAACAACTTAAAATAATAAAGAAACCGCGTTTGCCAACCCGCATGTCATGCATGTCAACTGTGGCAAATATCCCCACTATTGGCAAGGCATATGTTCAGCAGTGGACTTTTGATAGCCTGTAATGCCTCTTTTTATAGGAAACGACCCCATCCCTGAGGACTAAGATGGAATGCCTCGTTTCCAGAGAAAGGGTGTTTTCGGTTTTCTAGATTCATCATAGGAACCACAGCAGCATTAAGCTGCTATTACACGCTCGTATTCAGTGAGAGCGTAGTGCTACCCCTGTTGACCTAACTCATTCGTCATATAAACATGGTATAGGCTGTAATGGTGGGCTATAATTTGGTTGGATAGGCTAGGGCTGTAGTTGTGGCTAGTGCAGTAGTGTAGCAAGTAGTTGGTGTGCAGGAGAGTTTAGTGGAGTCTGTGCTGCGGTGGGCGGGCGCACGGCCGTGGCTGGCGGGCGCGGGCGCGCTGGCCGCCTTCGCGCTGCTGGCTGCCGCCGCCTACTGGTGCTGCGGGCCCGCGCCGCACGTGAGTACTCGACCACGCACACGAGCACACACACGCACACGTGCACACACATGTGCACGTGTACAGACACGAACACGTGCACACTCATGTGCACGTGCACACACACGCACACGTGCACACGCACACGTACACACACATGTGCACCTGTACACACGCACACGTGCACATACACGCACACGTGCACACACACACACACACACACACACGTGCTCACACACGTGCACACACACGCACACGTGCACACACGCACACGTGGCCACACACGCACACGTGCACACACGCACACGTGCACACACATGTGCACATGTACACACACGCACACGTGCACACACGCACATGTGCACACACGCACACGTGCACACACGCACACGTGCTCACACACGCACACGTGCACACACACTCACGTGCACACACGCACACGTGCTCACACATGTGCACGTGTACACACACGCACACGTGCACACACACGCACACGTGCACATACACGCACACGTGCACACACATGTGCAAGTGTACACACACGTGCACACACACGCACACGTGCACACACACGCACACGTGCACACACACGCACGCACACGGGCACGTACACGCACACGTGCACACACACATACGTACACGTACACATAAACAACGGCTGCGGACTCCACCGCGCGTGTAAGTATCTTGCACGTACACATGTACACGTATACGAATATATGCGTACGCATACATACAAGTACCAAACTTTATTTACTCGTGCAATAAAATAAGTACGGACGAAGTCTACTCCTTTTTTTTTAATTGAATTTCTAAGGTTTATAACAATAAAACCCCTTTTTTTCAATTAACAATTATTATAGTATTATTTTTTATTTATATAATGAGTGATTACTCAAACAAAATAATTTCAAACCATCTCCATCATCAGAAAAGCATTCTACGCATATTTAACCCTTTCCCTGTCACATGAATCATATATGAATATTTCGATTGTTTAACTATTGTGTCTGTTGGGCAGACAAAGAAACTGTTAAGTTTAAGAAACCAAAAAAGAAAAGAAATTAAAGAAAATAATCATAAAAAATAAATAATGGAAAAAAATATCCGTATGCTGTTGTTCTGATGATGAAAATACTTGAAAATTATTTTGTTTGAGTAACCACACATTACATAAATAAATAAATAAAACGTGTGTGTGTACTTATATATGCACAAAGAAAATTATACTTCTTTAGCGTAACAAAACAAAAATAACTAAAATTATTTAAGATTCTGGTGACAATTAATTGACGGCTCCGTGGTACAGTGGCTTAGCAATGAGTTGCTGCGCTAAGGGCCGCGGGTTCGATTCCCGCAAGGAATAAGTATTTGTAAGGCCTAAAAATAATTGTTCTGGGTCTGGATGTTTGTACTTGTGAAATCTATGTATGTAAACTGCCCCCGCGATACAGGAGAAGATCCTAGTGTAGAAAAATAGTAGAGAACGTTTTAAAAAAATAATTGTAATTTGTTTTTTAAACTTTGTATTTATTCTTAATATTGTTTCACAAAATAAACATACATCCATCACGTCTTTTGATGGGTAAATTTATAATATAAATAAAACACGTTGTAGATTCATTGAATAACTACCTTAAATATAGTTAACAGTTGCCACAAAAACTTGAGAGACAATCATTCACTTGAAGTTGTCGCTTTTAGCTGTCGGTGTGCGTGCGCATCGTAACAACTTCACAGTGTCGTTTTTAGGTGTCGGTGTGCGTGCGCGTCGTAACAACTTCACAGTGTCGTTGTTAGGTGTCGGTGTGCGTGCGCATCGTAACAACGTCATGGTGTCGGTTTTAGGTGTCGATGTGCGTGCGCATCGTAACAACTTCATGGTGTCGTTTTAAGTGTCGGTGTGCGCGCGCGTCGTAACAACTTCATGGTGTCGATTTTAGGTGTCGGTGCGCGCGCGCGTCGTAAAAATTCACTGTCATCATTTTTCCCAAACGCCCCAAAAGAAGCATAACTTCACTAATAACAACTACTGTTACTGGACAGTATTAGAAAATAATTGAAAAAATGGGTTATTTTGTTAAAAACCTTAGAAACTCAATTTGAAAAAAGGAACAGACTTCGTATGAGACAAGTTTAACTTGTTCAATAATAGCTAATATGTTCTAAATGGTTTAAGGTATCATCCCCTTCAGTCTTTGCACCCATCTTCCAATGACCTTGTATACACACAGCTTGCAAAGGTGATTACAATAATAAAGAATCAAAAACAATGCTTTGCGTTCGCGCTTAGCTATGCGTGACCGCACATGACCCCGAGCAAGTTATGGTTGTAGAACCTTCATCCTGCTACAGCGACGCGGTCGTGAAATCGTATTGCGCACGCAGTCACACGCACACACCGTTACCGTTACAACCTGTCAACAGTTCACACAAACAAGATTTTCTCCTGTATTTAATAGGCGGTCAACATATGTACATACATTGCACAAAACACACACTTCCAGAAGCGGAACAATTGTTTGTAGCCCATTCAAACACTTGTCCCGCGGGGGATTCATACCTGCAATCCCATTTTATAGTGTATTTCTTTTCAGTTTGAGAGCGGTGAGTAGGTCTGAAATTACTATGAGTTGCGGAGAAATGTTTTTGAAATTTATTATCTAGAGTTAAAATTTTAAACAAATTGACCTTTTTCAATAGGTTAATTTACTTAGTTTTGTATTACTACCATTCCATACCAAGACTGTAGAAGTTGGCTGAAAAAATTGTGAAAACTTATCATACAATAAGGCAGATATTGCATATCTTCAGCTTTTTATTCTGTCTAAAAACGTAAATTAATTGTAAAACTAATATGATATACATATCAGATATTTTTTTCATAAAACGTTGCAGAGTCATCGGACAATTAACATGTGGCAGATAAATTTTATTCAATAGGTTTAAATAATAAATATATTGAAAAATTATACGAGAATAAAAATATATAAACCCTTATAATTTATAGAAAAAACACATTTTACGTTTTAAAAATCTAAAACTATGTTAACTATCATCTTGTATTTGCCAATAAAAGACTATAAAAAAAAATCTATCAAAAAAACTATAAAATTAAAAATAAAACAATACTTTGCAAAAAGGACGTGAATTATAGATATTTCATAAAATAACTAATGAACATACTTTTAAATTTGCATTTTACTAATTCTTAGGATTTCAAATAACAATTAAAATGATTTGTTAGTGAAGTTGAAATTTCCAGAAAAACACAAGAGTTGAATAAAAAATTTCACAAATATACAGGAGCCGGAAATGGAATACAAGAAGACTGATGCGATGACCGAGGACGATCCTCACCAGTCTGACACGGAGGAGCAGCCGGCTGAGGCTCGCCAGAAGCCCAGCAAAGCCAACCTCGAGGGACCGGAGCCCGAGGTGGACTCTCCACCGGACCGATCTGATGACCAGGAGCCTCTTGTCGACTCCACTGAGTAAGTTTTGAAATATTCGAATATTGTAGAATTTTTTTTTACAATATTGAAATTACTAATTTCAACTTACAATCCACCTGATGGTAAGTGGCTATTGCCTTTAACACCTTTTTGTATATATAACGGAATCTTTTAATGTTATTTTCACCAAACTGTAGACGGTCGATTGATTTGAAAATTTGCATGTCATTGACTTGCAAATCGTATTAGGACCGATGACTGCAATAATTTAATAACTTTATCCTAGTATCCCGATCCGAATCACCAGGATAAAATAAAATAATTATTGGGATCATCACAGCACATGATCAATGCGTGTTGTTTAAGTTTTTTAAACTGTCGTATATAAAAAAAGGTAAAAAGAGGTTAAAAACTTTTATTACCTTTTTTACTTAGAAAAATGTACACCAGTAGTTACTAGGTGTGGGCGTTGCGACAACGAACCGTTTACAAAACCGTGTTGTGTTCTGCGACGATGAAACCGTTTTACGTCCTGGGTTCAAACGGTCTTCGTTGCACAAACCAGTCTTCTAATTACTTGGTGCGATTTTCTATTTTACGCCTATGAAAATACAGTCGAGAACGCAATGATTCAACTATCTACCTCACTCGTCGCGTCGTCGTCCTTAACGTTCCGCGTTATATTGTAGTCTTTGGTTTCGCGTTCGTTTACAGACGTAGACTTAATTGTAAGAAACTGCAACCATTTCGTTTTTCGTCGAGTGAAAACTCGACGAAAAACGAAATTCTATTTCATGTTGGATAACTTTCGTCCTTGAAGCAGTCTTCAAACCAGTTGTTGCAACGACGACCGTTTTCTGCAACCGTTTTCGTCGTCGGGAAAACGGATGATATAAAAAGTAACTTTGGCTACTTTAATTAAAAAAATTAAAACCCTTGAAATCCAATCGTAATAAATTACCCGCGGGCGAAGTCGCGGGGAACACCTAGTTTATAATAAACGCTGTATACTGTATTCTATCTCATTCTCTCGCAGGCTAAATACTGTAATATAGATGTATACGTTTGTCTGTTTTTAGTGGCGCTATTTCGTTTTATTGAGCTTCAAATCACAATGATTCTAAAGAAGATTTTGCTTCAAAAATATTTGAAGGACATGTGAAGTCAACAAGCACTGAAAAACACGACGGACCAATTTCTCCATGACGTGGTTTATACGTGGTAGTCATACTGCAGGTATATTATAGTTGTAGCATGAATGGGTGATATCGACCGGGGAAGTACCACGCTCTCGCAGCGTGAAATAGCAGCTTAATGCTGCTGTGTTTGTGTAGAGAACCGGAGACCCTTTTTATTGAAAACGAGGCATTCTATCTCACTCTTTAAGGGTGACAACGCATCTGCATTTTAATTCTAAATCGTTGGTCACCATTATTCAATAGAAAGAACGAATAAATGAGGGGACGCTTGTCCCCCAGCCGTGGGACGTATATAGTAGTAATTTTGCTTAACTTAACACTCAATACTATATCAACCGCATACAGGAAAATATTTTAATTATTATATTACAGAAAGCCTCAAATAGACACGGAAGGTGCCGGCGACGGTCAGAGGAAACGGAAACCCCGGAAGGAGTAAAATAATATATTTTTCCACTCGACAACTAGAAAACTCCTAATTTATTGAGAAACAACTTTATGTACAAATGTTTAACCTTCCTTCCGATACATAATACTTTGTCTCATGTACAGTCATCTACATAAATATATGGCTATTAGTAATAGGTACATGTAGTATGTATTGATAGCTTTCAATTTTTTATTATTATTCACAAATATAAATTAAAAAATCCCTTGCGTTATGTATAATCCCGTGTGTAGCAATATTTATATCGTAATTTATTATCTTACATTATTATGTATGTCACAGTCATAACTCATAACCGGTCGAAACCACTTTTGACTGCGAATAATCGTGCAACAGTAGTTTTGACTAAGGATGTTCGTCAAAAGTAATTTTGCCTGATTTAAAGTTCAGACTATCCGTGAAAACTTGCAGTATCAGTGACAGTAGGTTAAGGTGCGGCTGGGGTGGCCGTTGGGCCACCCTAAAGCCGCGTACATTTTAATGATATAATATTGAACGAATTGAACTTTTTAATTCCAAAAATTCTAAGAAGTATAAGTCAAAAGTAGTTTTGACTAATATTCTTGGTCAAAACCACTTATAACAGATGTAATTTGGTCAAAATCACCATAACCCAATATTTTTACAGTTAAAAATGGTTTTGACGAACATCCTTAGCCAAAACTATTTTTGTCCGATTATTCGCAGTCAAAAGTGATTTGGCCGGTTATGAGTTTTGCCTGTAACATATATAAATAATAATGTATTTATTAACTACTGTAAAAATCTAGGACAACCAAAACTTTCAACAATATAAAACTCGATTTACTTTTGAAAGTAAATTGTATCACTTAAAAGTAATCAGCCTATACTGTTTAAAAAAAATACTGCTTTCAATTTTGAGTCAGTATCTCTGTTAGTTTCCATGAGACGTTCCATTATTTTAATTTCTATGTATTTGTGACTATCTGAAACTATAACTCAATAAATTAGAGTTTATTTGTTTTACAATTCAGTTGTTATCAAACGAGTCCTAAGACTATTCTTGTAGATATGTCGAATATCGACATTTTGTCTATACAGATACACACATCACTAGCAGTGTTCTGTAAGACCAATAAGTGCGAGCGAGACGGCCGATACGATGTATTTGTCATGGACTCGTTTGACAATCGCCGCTATATTTAATGTAAGGTCTTGGTCGAGGGTAGTTATTGCAGGTAGTCTTCTCGACTGCTGTAATGAGCATTTTTGTTCGCTGTATTATTTGTTTCTATGTATAATTTAATTCTATTTGTTGACTGAATATTTAGAACGTTCGCAGACTTGAGTTTTATACTTGCAATTTCTAGGTTAAATTTGATTTTATTTACTTTAACACTATGGATTGTAAATTAGGCACATGAAATAAATATTTTCGAATTTTCTCAATACTTATGACATTTCTACAAGAATTTGTAGATTTTTGTAAAGGTACAATTAAAAAAAATAGTCTGTAGACAGTCTTAAATGTAATATCTATCTGTCCCTTTCTTATCTACCAAAGATCACGATGTATTCTTTCCTTTTAGTTGTGAACAAATGCTGAGCCAGATGTATTCAATTGTTTTTATTTTTTAAGATTAAGAGGAACTTATATAATAATAATAATAAATACTGCGTAGCGGTTGTAGGATATTATTCAATGTTGTCTATTTTAGTTGTGGAATGTATAATTTATGATTGTTTCTAAACTTCCGTTGCTGACAGTGTAGTTGACGTCATTATTAATGAATTACTATATCATATAATTTGTATTTGCTACTTTTAGTACAGTCAGTTCGCTAAGATAGTGTCGACACACCCGGAGGCGCACTTATTATTTTGCTTTTATTTTATTTTTACTGTGTTTGTTAAATAAATGGTTTCCTATTCTAAGAATAAAATAGAGTACTATTTAATTCTTATAGTTCTTGATACAAATAAAAATAATAAATAAAAGTTAGGTAGCAAAGAAACTATCACTACGGCGCGGCGCTTCGTTTTTAAATGCCAAATTCTTCTGCGGGTGTACCGCAGTACGCGGAGACCTTTGATGTCGCCGCGGCGCCTTTGACAAGATGTGGCACGAGTCAGGGTGGCGCGACACAGAGGCAACCGTATCTGAGCGAACAGGCTATACTGTCTCAAGGCGAGATTGACTTTTGATTTCAAGTTAAATTAGATTTTTATTAGTTAAAAAATACAAACCAACACGTATTTATCTACAATAAACTATGATGCCATTTACTGGTGTCCCTAAACAAAATTATCGTTTTGGCAGCTCATAAAAATGTATTTTAATTGCGTTAACTGTCAATAACCCTAAAAGTATTTCTATTAAATATGTATATCATAAAAAGTGGATACATTTGCTTTACTAATGTATATTATAAACTTTTACCACACTATCAATTACCAAAATATATCAGTAACTGTCTAAAAAACGTCAAATTTGTCTTCAGTTAATGAGATTGAACGATGAATAACGTTGGTAATTTTTGTTATGTAATCACTTGTCTGGTATAAAAAAGTAAGATTCGAAAATATTGTTTATAGTATGTTGAAATTTAGCATTACCTTAGACCAGAAGTATATAGTAAATATATATATATATATATATATATTGCATAGCTCATGCACATTCTTTCCATAAGCATATTATCCTTTTAAAGCATAGATTAATACTAATATAGTATGGCATATAAATGTATTGAGCTTATTTTATATGATGCAAACGAATAACATATTTTTATTCTGTTGACTATTTGACTTTATTCAAACACCCTGAGGTAATTGAGTAAATTTGAGTTTTGAATTAAAAAAATCACTTATTGTTTTCTTTAGCATGATTGTCACACTTTAATTGTGGTTCGTATCAAAGTTACGAAAAGATCGTGTTTGCCGAAATTTTTGGCATAAATTTGCACTGCTTTAACGGTATTTATGAGACATCGAGTTGTTGTTTTTATACTAACTTACTATGACCATTGTCTGATTTTATTTTAATTTTACCACGGTAACAGAATATTGTTAGGGTTGTGTACAGGAACATTATTGTTTTCTTTAATAATTTTAGCTTGCTGCTCAACCCTGAACATATTTAATGTTATCGATCTAGCGAAAATGGTTTATAATATATGTCATAATAACTAATTAAATGAGCTCTTATAATTTAATTCGAATCTGTTTTTTCCTATATATAATATTAATATTGGAATAGTGTTGCCAGTTGTAAGACGGACATTAAACTAAATATTTACGATATATTAAAACCATTACAACCACAAAGTGAAAATAGTTGAATCTGTGCTTCTGTGGGGTTTATGTTGATCATAAATAAGCATTTCTTAAATACAATAACATAATTTGTTGTTATTTGTAATCTACCAACCCTAAGTAATAAAGTAAATACAATTAACAACGAGGATTTGTTTTAAACAGAAGCAGCTGTAATGTTTGTTAAAATGAAAATTTGTATAAAATTACACAATTTAATGTTTCTTGCAAAATATTATTTCCTTTAATTTATTACATTTTAATTTCAAGTATGTATCAAAAGTTTATGTATACATTGATAGAGAATTGTTTCTTAGTATTTGTTTGCCCGCGTGGAAGATTTTGTGTGTGATAGGGACAAGTCAGTGGACTGGCATTTATGATTAATAATAATAATAATAATTAAATAAACTATTTCTAAATTATTGTTTTATTTCTATGTTTTAATTAAATATAAGAAAAAATGACAACGGTAAATGCTCTTTAATCAATTGTGTTGGGTCATCATGATCATCTCACAGCCGATGGCCTGTACTTTTGACAAGTTAACAGTTGAACAAAGACCTCTAACAAGAAATGCCACGAAGTACGGTCTTTATCCACATGCATCCATCAACTTCCTGCATGTCTCACCGGCTTGTTACTCCCATCTAGAGGGGATGGGGGGGGGGGCAGAGGGCGCTCTACACATTACGTACGAGACTGCCACTTGCGAACCATTCTTCCCCATCAGTTGTCGGTTTTTCGAGCTATATGTCCGACCAATTGCCACTTCAGGCAGAGAAACTCCATTGATCGCTGAGCTAACTTGAGGTTAGCACTGGAGGCCAGCAGTGAAGGACCATTAGATAGACCAGCAGAGAATTCTGATCAATATACTATAATTCCTTCTATCATGCACTTTTTTGATAGTGGCAATTTTAATATAGAATACGCAGTAGCACATGTCTAAGAAAGTTTTTTTTTATTTGATAAGGGTGACAAACGAGCACACAGTCCACCTGATGGTAAGTGGTTGCTGCGGCCCATAGATATCTACAGACATCTACATCTATCCTCTATTACAAATCAAAATGTAGATGCGTTGTCACCCGTGAGGACTAAGATGGAATGCCTCATTTCCAGTAAAAAGGGCCTCCGGCCACCTGCACTCACCAAGCGAAACGCAGAAGTAAACCTCTACTTCACGCTGGTTTTCTGTGAGGTCGTAGTACCAGCCCGGTTCGAGCCGGCCCATCCGTGCTACAGCAAAAGCTGCCGCGTGGCTCTACCACTGTTAATAATAGTCAAATATAAGATGCCGATTACTTAACCTTACGGACATTATGTCAAAAAACTGTACTATATAGCAATGAACCCACAAAAACAAATAGAAAACTAATCCTCAATTAAAAATGTCGATGAAATTTAGTGCCATTTCTCTACATTTTTTCCTGGATGGGTCTTCGGAAATTTTTAGCTAATTTCAAAAAAGGAGTTTTTGATTCAATTTTATTTTATGTATGTATTAAATGGGCTATACTACTAATGATTTCTTTAGATAACTAATTAGATGACATTTTAGCTTAAAGGGTTCATTAATTAAAATTAGAAAAAGTATAAACCAACTTCTAAGAAAAAGAATAAAATAATTTCTTTTAATCGCTTCCGAAGTTCTTCAATATACTATCACTTAAAATAACATAATATTTCAATTCAACATACTATGCACCGAT